GGGAAAGGGGGTGGGGGTGGGGGGGGGGGAGTGTAGACAGATTTATATACGTATCTGGATGATGATAGATGAAAATTATTTATTCCATATAGCACTTTTTTCATTATGTCTACCTTACCTAGTCTACTTATGCATTTTTACTAGCATTACTACTAATAGTACTAATCTTCAAGATCTGATGTGGATGAAGATAGATTAATAAATAAGATATAAAAGAAATAAAGATAAAACTTCTTAACAAGGATTATGACGCTGCAACGTCAAATACTTGATAATTATTGCAATTTCTTATCGACTTTACTTTTATAATTATAATTACCAGTAAAATCATAAGAGTTGATAATGGCAGATCATTCTTTATTTATCAGCTTAATCGTCTCGGGTGGACAGTTTAAAATAACAATATCCTTTAATTAATCCTAAATTTCTCACGGTAGCCAAATGGGTTGTAGTTAAAAGGTCATAGATATTCTTACGTATAAATGGAAAAATAATCGAATATTAGTGCGTGCGTGTGTGTGTGTGTGTGTGTGTATGTGTTGTTGTGTGTTGTGTGTGTGTGTGTGTGTGTGTGTGTGTGTGTGTGTGTGTGCGAGCTTGTGCATCTATAAACAAAACGTATTTGAAATCTGAAAATATACAAGGAGAAACAAACCTGCCTCTCCTGACACGGCAAAAAGAAAACGGGCACTTGTTTTATTCTGAAAAGAGAAAACGTGTATCCTTTGAAGAGAAAATGGGAATTAGTGACTCATGCTGTCCACAGAAAACCTGCTTCCACCGGTTGAGGGATAAATAATTCAAAGCTGCTCAGTCGAGGAATGTAGAGTTCGGAGAATCCGTAGCATAATAGGAGTTATTATCTCTCCTGCTTGATTTCTTAGACAACGATGTTCAAGTGATCAGGTACTTGCTTATGTTGGTTGTAATGTTATGATGGATCAGTGTCACATTCAAAGGTCAAATTGATTTTCTCTCTTTCTTTCTCTCTCTCTGTCTGTCTGTCTGTTGTCTGTCATCTCTCTCTGTCTCTGTCTCTCTCTTCTTTCCCTTCCCCTCTCGTCCTCATCTAATCAGTCTATGTCTCTGTCTCGTCTCTCACCTGCTCTTTCCTCTCTCTCTCTCTTGCTCTTTCTCTGTCTCTCTCTCTCTCTCTCTCATCTCTCTCACCTTCTCTTCTCTGCTCTCACCCGTCTACTCTCTCTCTCCTGTCGCTCAATCTTATTCCCGCTGTTCCACTATCTTCCGTCTGGTCTCTTTACCGGTGTCTCTTTCCTCTCTCTTCTCGCTTTCCACTCTCTTTCCTCACTCTCCCCAAGCTCTTGTCCTGGAGCAACTCCCCGGTCACCCAGCCCTCTTCTCCTCTCTTCCTACACTCCTGCACTCGTTACCTCTCTCTCCTTCTTTCCATCCGCCTCTCTCTCTCTGCTCTCTTTCTCTCGCCTTCCCCCTCCTAAATCATACTCCTCCTTATTTCCCTTTCTCTCTCTCCGTTCTTCTTTCCCTTTCTCTCTCTCATCTCTCTCCCTCTCCTCTCTGATTCATCTCTCTCTCTCTCTCTCCTTCGTCTGCTCCTTCTCCTCCTCTCTTCATCGTCTCTCCCCTTCTCTCTCCCTCCGTCCTCTTCTCCTCTCTCCCTCTCCCGTCAGTTTCTCTTTCTCTCCTCTCTCCTCTCCTCTCTTCCCCTCCCCCCGACATCTCCTCCTTCTCTCTCCCGTCCTCAGTCCACACTCTCATCTCTCTCTCCCCTTCCTACACCTCTCTCTTGTTCATCTCTCCTTCCTCTCTCCACCTTCTCGTTCCCTCTCTCCTCTTTCTCCCCTTCCTCCTCCCTCCATCCCTCTCTCCCAGCTCTTCTTCTTTCCTCCCCCNATTCTCAGACACGAACGAGCAGACAGTGAATTAAGTCTGAAGAACAGGATTAGACCAAATTGACAAACCTTTCAAACTCAAAATGACGTCAAAGTGATCAAAGATATATGAAGTATTTCGATTATTCCACTCTGTCTGCTTGTTCTATCTAAAGATTGAAAGGCACAAGATTATTGAGGATACGTACTCATTAACATGTGTTGTTTGCTCTGTTGTGTGTCCTCTTTCACAACGCCTAGGTTCTTCCCTCTCTCTTCTTCTCTTCTTCTTTCTCTTCACTCTCTCTCTCTCTCTCCTCTCCTCTCTCTCTCTCTGCTCTTGCGTCGTCGTCTCTTCTTCTGCTCTCTCTCGTCTCTCTCTCTCTCTCTCTCTCTCTCTCTCTCTCTCTCTCCTCTCTCTCTCCTTCATCTCTCTATCTCTCTCTCTTCTCTCATCTCTCTCTCTCTCTCTCGTCATTCTCTCTCTCTCTCTTTCTCTTCTCTTCTCTCTCTCTCATCGTCATCTCTCTCTCTCTTCCGTTCTCTCTCTTTCTCTCTCTCTCTCTCTCTGTTTCTCTTCTGTCTATCCTCTCTCCTCCTCTCCCTCCTCTCTCTCCTCTTCTCCTCCCCTCTCTCTCTCACTCTCTCTCCTCCTGTCTCCTCCTCTCCTCTCTCTCTCTCTAATCTTCTCTCTCTCTCTCTCTCCTCTCTCTCTCCGTCTCGTCCTCTCTCTTCTCTTCTCTTCTCTCTCGCGTTTTTCCTATATCGTCTGATCCTCCGTTTTCGTTCATTCGTCTTTGCTTTCCCTCGTTTTCCTATTACGGCTATTCTTAGTTTTTCTGCTCTCTTTATTTCCACATCCCTTTTTTCCTTCCCCTCAACTTCTCTCTTTTCCATCTCCTGTGTGCATGAATGATTTCAGTAATATGATTAGACTGAGAGAGCGACGAAGAAGAAAGAGAAGAAGAAAGAGAGAGAGAGAGAGAGAGATGAGAGAGAGAGAGAGAGGAGGAGAGAGAGAGAGAGAGGAGAGAGAGAGAGAGAGAGAGAGAGAGGGAGGGAGGAAAGAGTGGGAGGGAGGGAAGGTGTAGGGAAGGTGAGGAGGGAGATCGACATGACGACATAACACAAAGTACAATAGAATCGTCTTAAATGGACTTTACCTTGACATCGACAAATTCCTAAATAAGTATCTATTCTAGGTAGTGTGGCTTGTGGTGTCAGTACTTTTCGTTTATATCCGGAGGGGGTGACCACTCGAAACGGAAAATATATTTTTACATATATGTTTGGATAGATTTCTATTAAATTAATTTCCTGTACATATGGAAGGAAGAACATCTCGGAAAAGGTAGGTTACAGCGGTCCCCAGAGGAAAAGAGGAAAGATGAACACTGATTGATGGTGGACGGATCGATGATTGAGTGAGATCGAATGAATGATGATGATTGACGATGATGATAGTGATAATGAATGATATTGATGACTGATGAAACTGATTTATATGAATGATGATGAACCATTGATAATGCCTGTTGCTGCTCGCTGATGATGAAAGAACGAGAGGAAATGAGCAGGCGTAGAAGGGAATGGATAACGAGTATAACTTGAATATTTGGTATTTAAAAAAGTGATTCATCAATCTCATTCATTTCTTATACTCAGCCGCGTAATCAAAATGCCTTAAAAAGAAATCGCCTTTGAATCCCAAAATGCGACTTTAATTATATGGACTCCATGAATATCGGGAAAAGGGGAATTGGATAACGTATTTTTGTATATCTTTTGTAGCAGAGCGCGATGCTCATCTGTTTGAAATGACGCTTTGTTCCCTAGTGGGGTCGAAAGTGTTTACCTTGTTCTGTTAGGATAAATCTCCGAGTCCTCGACAAACACTCGTATGCATGAAATGCGAATTATGACATTAATCGATGGGGCAGAGCTCTGATATTATGTTTACTTGCTTTGTTATGACCTGAACGTATTTGGCAGTGTTTAAAGATGAGGTTGGCAAGGAAAACCTTTGCTGCAGTTGCAGTACCGTGCGCGGGCGGGAAAGTATAAATGCCAGAATAAACATCGCGACCCTCTATTTTTGTTATTGCTATTGGAATGCAAGAGACTGCGCCGCCAGGTGAATATAACAGATATCCGTTTCTGTAAATCTATCATTGAGTGGAATTGCGTTGGGAGAACAGGGGATCGTTCTTGCATTTTACACTAACTGCGTTCTCCAGGAATCTTAACGTGCCGTGCTGTTTAACACCCTTTCTGCATACTTGTCTTGCTATTGTTCCCTTCCCTTCCTCTCCTTCGCTCGCTACAACACACACACACACACCACACGACAACACACACACACACACACACACACAACCCACACATCACACACACACATCACACACACACACACACACACACACACATCACATACACACTACACAACACACACACACGCCACACAACACACACCACACACACACTCTCACGAACAACACACAGCACAACACACACAACATCACACACACACGACACCACACTCGCGCACGCACGCACAGCACACACACACACACATACGTCTGAGCAGCATAACTCAGTCATCGATGACAGCGTGGATTAAGAGACACGACACGAAGAAGGGATGAGCTAGACAGAGGCGGGCACAGGCGAGGAGTATGCAGATAAACACAACGCACACCCACACACTGTATCTAGTGCAACGGCCGAGGGAGGATGACGCTCTATAGAGCACTACGTTCAACGAAGGATCGTGTATCTATAGATTTGCCTTGGTTCAGGTGCACCCTAGGAACTGCAAGAAGGGTCGGCTATATGTGGAAGACTATCTATCTCGCACAGCGACGACGCGCATACGCAACCACGTCCCGACGACGCGGGCGAACGCCCAATCCGGCAACCAACACACAGCAGCCGCACCCGGAAAGGAGGTATGCAGCCTTAGAAGAAAAACCCGAAAAGCGATATGAGTGAGTGGATGTGCAGCTGAGAGCGATATATGAGAACACCTCACGTGCAGACAGTGCACGGGACTCAAATGTCCAAAGCATGCCTATCAGCTATGGATATAATCGCTGATCGTCTAGCAAGTCAATGCTTTCCATTCTGTCAGACGGTCTCTCTGAACGAGGA